ATGCATTTTATATGTGAATTACTTTGTAAATACATTTCTTTTATTACTATTTTATAATAAATTGTAATCAAAATTCTATAAAAAAAAAGGGATTTTTTTTTTGGAATTTTAAGTTGTGCAAGCGTTATAATTTTACGTGGGGATTTAAGTACTTGCTATGGATGTAAACATTTGGATTAGATTATAAATAAAGTCTATCTTTTGACCAAAAACAAAAAACAAAAACAAAATTTAGACATTTGCATGATGAAGACCTATATTTCGTCGCGCAAAGGATATTTGAGCGATGAAATCTAGTCTTCATCATGCAAGTGTCTGAAAATAAAGGCGCCTTTTTTCACGGAAATTTAAAAAAAAAAATTTCCCCACGAAGCATAGAAGCTTGTGCGACAAAGCCTCTGTCGCGCAAGCTTCTATATTCTTATATCAATCTTCTTCCTCCCCTCACTTATTCTCTTCTTCCTCCGATACCCTTTCTCTCCCGACGCCATTGTAGCCCCTCTCTTCGTCGCTCACCTCGCCTCGCCTGCAGTTGCTCTCCGGTCGTCATGTCTTCATCTCCAAGAGGTAATTTCATCTTAATTTGCATTCCCTTTTCTTCGACTTTTAGGTTTTGTTTACTTCCAATTTTAAATTAGAGTTAGATTAGGGTTCTTGATTTTAAATTCGGGGTTAGAATTAGGGCAGTGGGTTGCAATTAGGGTCCTTAAATTAGAGGTTCGAATTAGGGTCCTTAAATTTGGAGGTTTTTTTATTTTAAGTTAGGGGTTAGAATTAAGGCAGTGGGGGTTAGAATTAGGGTGCTTATGAGTGATGCCATGTTTGGAACTTTGGATTGAGTGAAATCAAGAGAAAAGACAAATAGTTGTTGCAACTTCAAAATTTTCACGGACATATTTATACTATTTTCTTTAATAATATTAATCCAACATATTATGACGATATTGCTATTATTACATGCTTCCATAATTCACTATGATAATGTTTTGTGCCATGATTTGTGTTTTCATTTGGCCCGACGCAGTTATTTCGTTAGTAATTCGATATGGAAGTGCTTGTTTGTGATGGACTATGGATTAACTGGTGTACATGCGCTGTCATATTTAATTTATTTTGGGACTTTGATTGTATAGATCACAACGCTCTTATATGATTCTTTAAAATTATGAGTGTGTAGCATTTCTTGAACTACTTATTAGAGTTCATATGTATGCTTAGAATTTGTTAAGATTTATAATAATTGCATACAACTCCATCATTTTCTCTATAAAAGAAGAGCAAGGGATATATACAAAGAAAAGACACACCATTGGAAGCCAATCTTTCTTCTAGTTTACTCTCTCCCTCCTTTCATATTTTGTCAAGGCTCTTAAGCCACTTTCTTGTAATTTATACATATCATACACATATTGTTGCCAACCAGGCTAGTGAGCGGCCAGCTCTAGTCGAACCAGGCTAGTGAGCGGCCAGCTCTAGCGTTCAGACGTGCCTCCCTTTTAATTCCATTGGGCCTTGGTCTTTTAATTCTTTTTTAGGCTTTGACTTTTAGTGCGCCTTTTGTTGTTTGCACTTTGAGAGTCGAAATGGACCCTATATCAACAACGGTTTCGAATAGTTACGATACTTTCGGTATTTTTTTTTCCACCTCTAATTTAAATAGATGGTCTCCCTAGCATTACCTTATAAAAAAAAGGGGTTCAAAACCTTTTTGGTCATCATGTTTATCTAAAATCTATTTTGGTCACTGTGTTTTCAATTTAGTCAATTTGGTCACTGTGCTTCATGAAGTTTACAATCTTGGTCCCTACTGTCATTTTGTTCTTATTGAACTTGGTCTGCATCGTGAAAGGCTTGTTGCCCATTCTAGGGCTGATGCTGATGCTGGGCACTATTTGGTTGAGCCATAAAATAGGGCTGTTGATTATTATGCCAATTTTTGTGTTAGCTTCCACGGCCATAAGGGCCACACGATCTGCCACCACCACAGCCGCTACCTGTGCGTGAAGTAGATTATGATGAGGGATATACCATAAGGAGAGCTTGGCCGTTGTGAACTCTAGAATTTTGTTTGGAATTTTGTTGATCAAAGTTGAAAATTTTGGAACGCAACTCGGTGAATGAAGGAAGGGGACCATTGATCAACGTAGTGGTGAGTATCCAGTAATCAAGGCCGAGTCCACGAATAGTACACATACCAAGATCTTTGTCAGAAATAGGTTCACTGTTGGAAAATATTAGGATTTTAGTTTATTTGAATATTTGGTTTTCTGGGCTTAGCTCGTTAACATTAGGGTTTCGGTTTCTTACCTTTTTAGGTTAGGGTTAGTTTATTATAAATAGCATGCTTGTTATTCAGTTTAGAATAAGTTATTCACAATATAGTCTCTTAAGGTTTTGTGGCCGTTCCGGCATTTTCGGTTGTTTAATAATATTTCTATTATTTTGTTAGTCTTGTTAGTTGCGCACTCTGATATTCAACTTGGTATCAGAGCAGGTTTGATCCTTTGGGATTTAATCTGTTCTTGATTCGTATCAGTATGTCTGTTTGTGTTGTCAGTTGTTTATTTCTGGTTTAGATTGTCATTGGTGTAGTTTGAAAAACAAAAAATCTGGAAAAGAAAAACTGCCATCTTGTAAAGTCTGTAATCGAAGCCACCAAGCTCAGTATCCATGACCACCCCACCATCGCCTGCATGACTCACTGACGTCGCACCCAAATCCGTCCCGCATCAGATTAGCACTGCGCTGCGCACCACTCATTGCCAGACCCGTTGATCAACCCACACCCAATCCATCCATGGTACACCATTGCCGTACCCGCTGCCTTAGAGCCACCCGCTTGTTGCTGTTTGTTCGTACCGCCGCCGCACCAATGCTGGAGGTGTATGGCGTCAGTCCAGAAGGAAGAAAAAATGAAAAAAGGGAAAAGGGAAGTAAGAAAAAAGTGGAAAAGAAAATAAGAAGAAAAAAAAAAGGAAAAAAAAGGGAAAAGAACTTAGTTTTGGTTGTTTGTTTTGAGGCCCACACGGGCAAAAGGAAAAAATATGGTTTAAGTTTGTTGTTGGGCCACACAAGTTGTTGGCGTTGTTCGTTTGTTGGTACAATTGAGGTATGGATATCTCGTCCGTTTAGTGACGGGTTATTTCCATACTCTCAACACTAGCTAGTCAAGAATCAAGAATCAGTTTGCCAGTTTGCCAGTCAAGTCAAGTTCGCCAGTCAAGTCAAGTCAAGTTTGCATGTCTGCTAGTCCGCCTAACGGAGCCAGTCCGCATCTGCTTGTTTGCAAACCCATGTCGTATACCGCCATGAGTTTGACGGGGGGGGGGGGGGAGTTGGAAAATATTAGGATTTTAGTTTATTTGAATATTTGGTTTTCTGGGCTTAGCCCGTTAACATTAGGGTTTCGGTTTCTTACCTTTTTAGGTTAGGGTTAGTTTATTATAAATAGCATGCTTGTTATTTAGTTTAGAATAAGTTATTCACAATGTAGTCTCTTAAGGTTTTGTAGCCGTTCTGGCATTCTCGGTTGTTTAATAATATTTCTATTATTTTGTTAGTTTTGTTAGTTACGCACTCTGATATTCAACTTTCACAGATTTTAGCAAGTGATCAGCAAGAGACTTGGCTTCTTGAATGTAAACCTCTATAGTATTGGATCCTTTGGACAAGCACATAGTAGCTCCATTAGGAACTGAGGTCTAAGAAAAGTGCGTATGAAGACAATCCCATAAAGTATGGGACGTAGCACAACCAATAGTGAGATAAAGTAAAGATTCAGAAATTGTACTCATGAGGTAGCTATTCACCAGTTGGTCCTGTTGATACCAACAGAGGTACTCAAAATTAGGAATTTTGAAGGAGAAAGAGGGTTGACTTCAATGTATTGAGGATTGGCAATGATGGGTGGGGGAGAGGGAGAGGAACTGTCTAAGTATTTCCAGCGATCATGACCAATAAGAAAAGCTTTAAGTTGACGAACCCAAACAATATAATTTGTGGTAGAAAGTTTAATGAAGTTGGCAGTGCTTTGGCCAAGAAGAGAGGAAGAAGATGTCGCCATGATAGGAGAATGGGGATGGCAATGTTCAATTTTTGGGTTTTTTATTTTTTATTTTTGGGACGGTGGGACAAGAAAAGAGAGGAGAAACCCTAGGACCTAAGAAAAACCCAGACTAATTATGACTCCTGATATTCATATATGAAAAATATTGCAAATATATATATATATATGGTTGCATTGATCCATCTTGAGATAGAAATCTTACATTCATTACCATTTGAAATTACATTACTATATTACATGCTACAATCACGAAGAGAAATACAGATTAATTAAATGTACTCTAACAACATGTATGATAGTCAAGCTTTTTACTCCACTAGCATCTCTTCCTAATTCACATCTTTGCCAGCTTTTTTTTGTGGTAAAAGTGGGGGTCGAAACCCCCAAGAAAAACAACTAATTATTTCCATCTTTGTCAGCTTCAATTCAAGCGAAGGAGCTTGTCCCATCTTTTTCCAGCATCAATTCAACGGAAAGAGCTTGATGGAGAGAGAAATGGAATGTTGGAATGGGAAGGCAGAGTGTGTAAAGCTGACAAGTTGTGACTAAAGACGAGGAATACAACTTTTGTTGTCTTCTAAATTGTAAAGCACAAATTTGAATTTGTTTTCCAAGTATCATTTCCACGTTTAATTAACAAATATTTGCTGTTGCAGAACACAAAACGTAATTCCCCAAAGATTAATTAACATGTGAACGCCTTAGTTTCAAATATGCTCGTTTTTTCACGTGTAATCGATGGAACGTTTCTCAATTTACATATTTGTGAGATTTAGTTCATATGGAAGATCGAGCTTGAAGTGATAGCAAGAGTTTTATCCATTTGCACAACGCTAAATAATAATTGCAAGTGGACTGTTCTTATATTTTGCATGCCAATAATTTGTAGCCCAAAGTCGAGTAAGGAAGGACACTGAGTAGATGCATAATTGCAGTTTTAGTTCTTGAATTAAACTTCGTGAGTTTTGATTCTTGAATTTGTTATAATGTGGAGCAATGATCATTTTAGTTAACTTCATTCACTACTATATCATTTTGCCGACAAATATAAAGCCAACAAAACAAAATTTTTGTTCCCCCGACGAATATTTAATTTGTAGACTCCAAACTTCTAGACCTACGCCTACCAAAATGTTGTTGGCAGAGAACATTCAACCCGACGAATAAACTAAAGGTCGGCGAAAACATGCCGGTTCGTCATCAAGAAAGGGGCGCAAATTATTAATTCCTTCCCGCCCCTTTATGTTTTGTCTTTCCGATTACCCCGCTTAATTTTTTCTTCGAAAGAATTTTCCCCTTAAATCTAGATACAATGTTTGACAAACCCTATTATTTGTGGATAACCGTCACCTCTTCTCTCTCTCTCTCTCTCACAAAGCGCTGCTCTTGGCTTTCCGTCGACATTGTTTTTTTTTTTCGCGCCGTCGCCGTGGCTTCATCTACTCTCCGTTGCTGCTGCCGTTGCTGTTGAAGGGCCCCTTCTATTCTAGCTTCGAAATCTCCAATATAGAGTGTTTCTCTGCATTTCGTTTATCTTAAACATTTGGGTAATGTTTTCAAGCCTATCTATTCTATTTTTTCCCCTCAGCTCTCTATTTAATCTCAATTTTATGGTTCCTTCCTTAGATTGCTTTTCCACTGTAATTTTGAGGGGTTTTAGGCAATGATTTGATTGGGGATCCTTAGTTAGGGTTTGTAGTTTCTCTTTCTGGGTTTCCTGGGTTTGAGGATGCTTAATCCATGTTCTGGAAATTGCTTTTAACTTCAGTTTCTGGGAAACTTCAATCAATCTGCAGTAATAGTTTTATAGTTAAAATTGATTGTGAGTCTTTGCAATATAATATTCAATTCCTCTGTTTAATCAATTGAAATTCGGTCATGGTACTTGACTACTTGTGAGATTGTCATTTTTTGTATATTTTACTATTTCAATATAATAAACAGTTTTTTATTTATTTTTAATTCCAAGCTTGACATTGAAACTGAATTATCAAGAAAAATGGTCCCAAAATGTTAAGAGCAATGAAATTGCGTTGATGGGGTGGTGTGAGTAATGGCAACCATATACTTGATAACAGCTTCTTACATTTACAAGTGCCTTGTGATGGTTAATTCTTATTTTAAAGTATGTTGTAGTTTGTGTTCTTGTTTGGGCTGGCCATTTGATTTAAAACTGGGAATGCTCCCTTTCTGGTTTTTGAATTCTTAACCAATTTGAGCAGGCTGTAATGTCATGCCTATTAAAAAGTGAACAAAGGTAAGGTTGTGATTTTATTATCAATTTAAAAAATGTGGATTAGTATTGTTTTGGCATTTTGGTGAAATGGGTTTGTTTGTACCTAATTGCAAGCCTTTTGTTTGCTCGTGATTTAATAGATGACTGAGTATCCATGCTTATACATACTTTAATCTTTTTTTTTTTTTTGCAACGTATGTTCATGTGGCTGAAATTCTGTGATTAGTTTTCTTCCTTGAAACTTTTGATTAGTTTAATTCTATTCGAATATGAATTATTTCTTTATGCAACATAGATACCTTTTGGTTTGTTGGTGAGGCATTATTTACTAAAGGTGGTTTTATAGGAACTGCTTATGAAGAGAATGAAGTAGCAAATTTTTCATACAATCATCAATACTAAAGTTGCAGAATGAATCTAAGGATGTAAGTTTCCCTACAAACTTAGTTAGACTTGAAAGTTTCTTTGAAAGTTTGCAAGTTTTATTTCTCTTCATTGACAAAAATTCATAGATTGGCTGCTTGTGACATACTCACTTGTAGTAGTAGAGGGAAGGGCATGTTATCATGGACAAAGAATGCATTCACCAGTCAAGGTTAATTTCAAATCCCTGAACCCTTAAATGCTATTGCACGATTGTATGTGTCGGTTTGGATCATGTTGTAAGAACTACTACTTTATGCTGAAAGCCTTTATTCTCCATGTAGTCATTCAATAAATTTATCTTTATTTAACTTCATCACAAATAGCTAAGCCATATACATTTTGAACTTTAAATAGAGTGGATGGTTCACATTTAGGATTGTCAATATGAGCTACAGCTGCATGAAAGGATTTATAAGGTTTTGGTGGAATAAGTGAAGATTCATCTGGGTAATTGATGACTAGTAACTTGAAATGATCTTCAAATTATACACATCAGAGATATTATTAATTGTAGACATTACTTTTCTAAGTATATTGGCAATGTGTTTGTTGGCTGGGAAGTTGTGTCATATGTGATATAGGTATTAATCTTCCCTATTGGGTATATTGTTACATGTTCTTTGCTCTCAAGTATGCTGCAGGTGCAAGATGGTTATGATTGTGCAGGTGCTAGTGCTAGATGGTTTTGAGTATATAGGGGCAAGATGCAAGATGTGTTGTGATGCTACATGGCAGCCAATTTTGAGGAATGACAGTAGGATAATTTTATTATGTGACATGCTTTTGTATAAGTACTCTAGATGTACGTTCCAAACTTATCAATCAATAAAGTATTATTGTATTTTGATTTTTGTGTATTGTATTTTGATGTGCATATGTAGTAGCTAAGCATCAAAGCATTTATTATTTTTTTTATAAATTAATTGTCTTCCCGACGAAACTAATTTTGTCGGGAGATAGAAGACTTTGCCGACGAAATATCCATGGCACAAACACATTTTGTTGGCTGAAAAGTATTATTTGTCGGCTTAAAAGGCCTCTATCGATGAAACTATTTGTCGGGGAAGATGTAAATGCCGACAAAAAGGAGTTTGTCGGGAAAAGTTGAACCTTACGAAATACCAAAATTTATCAGGAACGTTCTTGCACGACATGCTTTGCATGACAAAATGGCCGACAAAAATTTTTGTCGGAAAAGACTCTTTGCCGACAAACAAATTTTGTCAGTAAAGCCGAAATTTCTAGTAGTGATTAGAACTTTCATCTAAAATAAAGAGCTTAAAAGGTAGAAAAAAGATAGAAGTTTTAACTAATTAGGGATGACAATTACCAGTTTGAACTACTTTTAAAATGACTGAAAGCACTTTTGGTGAATATATTTTGGAATCAATCCTTAGAAACACAAGTGAAACATAAAAAAACACTTGAGGTGTTTCTTCCAAAAAGCATTTAAAATGCTTTTGAAATCTAAAAATATTTTTTTTAAAACATTTTCAATTATTTTAAAAACACTTTAAATGAATATGTAAGTGCGTTCATTTAAAAAAAATTAAATTCTTTAAAGAGAACAAGAAGTAGGTTTGCATGCCGGATGCATAACTTGCCCACTGAGCATGACTTTTGCGTTAAAACCGTTGGCTTGTGCCCATCATGTGTCAAATCCAACCTGTATGTAGATGACAGATGTTCAGGGTACTTTCATGGAAATTCATTTTCCAAAATTAAACCAAACCTAAAAATCATACATTGACACAGAGAAATCTGAAAGGATTCTCTAAAAAATGGAACTCTTTGTTATTTGATAATTTAACGTTAATTTTTATACTAATATTATAAAATAGTATATCAAAAATATAAGATAGCAGAGAATTTACTAAAAGAATGACTTTAAAAGAGTTTTATTAGCATTTTTCATTGTGATACCGTTTGGAACAAAAAGAAAACACCGAAAACAACCAATGAACAACTCCAACAGCTGTAATACAAATACTTCAAACCAATAATTACATGTTTGTGATCATGACCCGTTATAAGAAGAAGGAAGTCACATTGAAAAGTTAAAGAAACATGAAATTGAATTACTTTTTTTTTGGTGAACAATTGAATTACTTTTTTTATTGCCAAATTAGTTTTAAAGTGCAACATAAAATCATTAAAACACAATATGTACACGTGTTTTATATCAGTTAATATGTGTTGCTTGTATGTTTGGCATATATATCATCACATGTAAAGTAGCGTGCGGAGGATGTAAAGAGTTATCTCACATAAAAAAAAATTAAGAAACTTATTAAAGTTAATAAAGAGTTGGATTGCTCTTCTAATTGCCAAAGATGGAAAGAAAAAGGACTCCATCATTTAGCCAGGGCCGGTCTTGAGATTTTTTAAGGCCTAGAGTGACGCCAAAAAATTTGCCCTAACTTCATATAAGAAAATTATTTATTTTCACACATAAGACTTCAACAAAATTATACTTTGAAAACCACTTCAAACTCAATAATTTAGAAACACAGAAAAAACTAATTTAATTTGTATCAAGAGAAGAAAAGCAAAAAACTCCGGAATTGTAAGTAGATTGATAATGAGTAAAATTGAAAAGAAGAAACATGCACATAGCATTTCGAATTCAGAACCTCTTGTTAATTTTAAACAACCAAAATCATTGCTTATGATTAAACCTCTTGATTATTTTATCCAAATTTCATAAATTTAAACTCTTATGAAAAGAAATTCGTAGAAGCTAGAAATTAAAAACCACAAATAGTGTTTCAAACCCGAGACCTTCTTGTCAATTTTAAACAAAAATAAACCACTGTTTATGGTCAAATTTTATAAATTTATACTCTTATGAAAAGAAATTTATAAAAATTGGAAAGTAAATAAACACACATGGTGTTTTGAACCCAAGACCTCCTTATTAATTTCAAACAAGAAAAACCACCAATCCTAGTTAAATTTCTTTGTCATTTAACCAAATTTAAAATATTTATAATGACGCACCCTGACCGAGATCGAGGCATGCTGTCCGTCACGTGAGGGTGACGTAGCTAAGTGCACAGTGCGGAAGCTATAAAGATAAGAGTTATACGAATAAATAAAAACCGAAAGCTACTAAAGTGCACTAATAAATCATAAGTGCTAGGAGTGAGATACAAGTGTAAATACTCCTAATCAAAGCATAGAAAGTCTAGGTCCAATCCAGTAGGACAAGTACTAATTAAACAGTACCAGAAGATGTCCTACTAAGTATATAATTTGTCAGAACAGCCGAAATCCTCAAACGCCACCAACAACAAGCCAATCTAAAACCTAGAGGGGCGCAAAACAGAAAACGTGAGTGGGCAAAAACAAATATTTTTTCAAAACCATTTCATCATTAAAATGCTCTAACCCCTCGTTGTAAAACATGTATAATTTTCCCATAAATAGAATATAAACATATGCATAAATGTATATATAAATATCTCAATTCAAATCATGCTTCACATAACCATATTCATAAGTATGCCATGCCAAAACATAAAAATAGAATAAGTAACTCAGGTGAGAATGATTTCATGGAAAAATAACATATTAGCCGGAACCCCTGCATAAGTCTGTACGGCTGAATTCATAGCTCATTAGTCAATCTAATCAGAGTCACTACCATGACCTATACGGCACTATACTGCACATAAGTTGGAACCACTAAAAAGGGGTCTATACGACAAGACTGGGTGTAATATAATTATACTTGATACTACGCTCTCATGATAGCTGGGCGATAAATCGCTAACCACTTACGAGTCGGAACCACCTATGATGGTCTGTACGACAGGACTATGTACCTAAATTGGATCCAATGTAAGCATATGGTGCTGGATGTGACATTATATACAGGCATGTGCCATATCTCTGGCTAATCACTAACACCGGGTGCAGGTTTATGAGCTCTATGCTTCTCAATTAATCACAACAATTATTCACATTCACAATACATAAACTCACATATGCTTACCTGAGCGTCCACAGCACCACAATCATATATTATGCATCATATACTAATTCATATACAAAATATAAATTTATATGCATGGCATTCAAGGCATACTTTCATTTAAACGTATTTTTTTGGGGAAAATATCAAGTATATAAGTATATACTGAAAACCAAAAGCCCACTCACTGGTATGTCGAAGGGTCGTAGCCCCCGAGTCGCCCTTGACTGCGCTCGTCCTCGGGATAAGTTTCCCCTATATGCGAAATAACTATAAAAACGTTATTAAAGGCACATAGAAAAAACTAGCTAATAACTTCTCATACAATGCTCAAATGGGGTGTTTGAATATACCAACGTGATCTACACAATCTCACGAACATCTCCATATTTTTAGAAAAAAATTTCGACCACCCACGCGCAAGGACCCTAACGGAATCCTTTAACCCCGTTAGGAATATTCCGTTAAAAAGTAACGGAATCCGTTAAACTAACCAATGCCGTTAGGAATATTCCATCATCCCCTACCTCAGAACACCGGCGACCGTTGCCGTCGCCGAAAAACTGGGAATTTTTCAAACCTTCATTTCTCGTCCATTTCTCAGTCAAATTTCACGAATTATATACCAAAATGAAGTTTAAGACAAGTAGAACAAACCCTTACCAGTTTTAGGACCTAAATCTCACGGGATCTCGTCGAAAAAATCCCCGATAGTCTGGCCAAACTTAAAACTTGTCGTTCTCAATACTCCAACGTCCAATTTCTTCCAACGAACTACTCCAAGCCTCATGAGGACCTCCTTAAGCTACCTATAAGCTTGAAATCCCCAAAAAACACGTGATTCTACGTTTGCATGAATAGTAACTAAATCGGAGTTCGAGAGAAACTAGGGTTTTCGAAGGAGTTCTTACCTAAAACGGTACCATTCAACTCATATGAACCTCAAGAACACGATGGTATCCTTTAAACCCTCGATCTGCAAACTTTCTTCTAGATTTGTTGTTCGTCTGTACGGGAGAAAGGAGAGAGAGTGAGTCCGAGGGAGAGAGAGCACGGGAGAGAAGAGGGAGGAAGAGTTTGTGTGTGTGTGAGTGGTCCACGTGGGTCACCAACCAAAACCACAAAAACTAATTTCCAATTTGTTCCAAAAATTAAGGAAAAATGCAAGTTTGGACTACCATTTACATGCATAACACCCACCACAACACTCACATCCAAGGGTAAAATAATTAATTCACGTCATCGATAATTTATTTCGGGACGAGCTGTGACATATACTCTTATGTAAACATATTTAAATATACCACTCTAAAAACTTTGGTGCCCCAATTTTTTTGGGCCGCGGACAGTTGCCCAACCCGCACTGGGCCTGGGCCGGCCCTAATCCAACAAATAATCCCTCTCTGATCTCAGCCACCAATTAGAAGAAATAAAAAAAGTCAGTGGGATTTCCACAAGAAATAATGCCACCAAAGGCAGACCGAGAGAAAGATGGTGCAAAATCCCGAGCCGGTGTGAATGCCGGAACTCTACACACACAACAAAATGTGGTCAAAAGTGATTGCAGTAGCAGGAAGAAAGGAAGGGAAAACAAAAAGAAGAAGGGAGGGAATGCCACTGAACTTGGCCAGAACTAAAGTCGGCGGCTGAATGGAAATTCAAACAAAAAAAAGGGACTACCACAAACATAATTGGTAATCTCCTATTTGGGTGCCACATTACAAATCTATCAAAAGCCTCAGGCGCGTCTTAAGATAATTCCAATTGACACGTTTTTAAGTATTTTTTTATTAAATGATATTATTTAAACTAAAAGGGTGAAGAATGTAGATTAAATCCTACAATGAACTAATAATAATGTGGTTCAAATTCGTTATGAACGAGAATCAAAATTAAAACTTTTCACTTACAAATAAAAATAAATACTAAATACATCGTAATACTAAATTGCGTGTGCAAATATTTAATTGAATTTTAATTTCAATTCTCAATCGTAAGAAAAGGTTAGAGAGATCATATAATTTCTGTGGTTTCTAAAAGTGTCTAATCCAAATTTTAGAAAGACGTCCAGGTACTTTCACCAACTTCTCTTTCCTATTTTTTTGTCTTCTGTCTTTTCAAAACTATTACTAAATTGATCATCGTACGCGTTCCGACTAAATTGATGTGGGGACTCTCATTAGGTCCTATCGCAGATAGGAATTAATACTCAATTGGTTGTAGTAGCAGATTTAGAATTTTAAAATCTCATGGTCCTAATCGGATAGTACTTTATAAAATATTTTTTAAATATCGTATAAATTTATAATATATTTAATAAAAATAAACGATGTCAAACATATGGTATAAAAAATATTAGTTGAATAATGCATCATTCTTTTATTGATTAAATGCTAAGTGAAACAACTTAATTAGACCAAAAATATATATATATATAATAAGGGAGTTGGTCAAGTGGGGATTGGAGAGAGAGAGAGAGAGAGTCCTTCTTCGTTGAAACCAAGTTCCAAGAGCAGCAGAGTCATGATGGTCTTCTCTGTGTTCCTCTTCATTTAAAATTGGATCTTTCTTCTTGATTCAAAACCTGTTGCACAACCACCTGCCCATACCGTTAGGTGGTTTTCGCAGGTCCTTACATATGCTTCTTTGGACTTCCAAGTTGTCCCAGTACCACTCGAGCCCATGAGTAGATCCGTCCCTAATTGCACGATTGACCTGTAAATAACATAATCTTGACCTTTTTTTTTTTGATTAATTAATTATGAAATTTCGAGGACATTTACCCTTATTCTAAATCAACCAAAGAAATATTATTTCCAATTAGGATGACCACAAAATATATATTTATGTTGACATTCATATTATTCCATGAGATTATTCCTGTATGAACCATTCTTCGATCTTGAAATCCAATCACAAATGGACAAGTGTCCAATCATAGTCTTTGATTTATTCAGATACGTATTCGTTTGTGATTGACATTTCAGTATTATTTGCGCTCTTCTTTCAGGGAAGCATGATTCTTCCTACATCATGTGATTGGAGAAAACATGCTACGTTTAGTAAAAAAATTGGACTCTTTACTTTGCCAAGATTTTTGTTGGAAAGAAATAAAATTAGGAAACCGTAATTCACAATCTTCTTAGCCGTATTATGAAGAGCTAACATTCATATTATTCTTTGGGCCATGCATGATAATTTTGTAGGCACCGGCTTCAAATGAAATGTTAAACTTGTTTGGCCTAAACATCTCTAATTTGGTTGGACTGGTTTGGAAAATGCTTTTAAAAGACTAAAAGTGCTTTTAGGAATATATTTTTTAAACCTATCCTTAGTAAAAATGTGTTAATCCTGAAAAAGCACTCGAAGTGTGTTGGGGGACTTTTATGTCAAGGTGGACTCGGGCTTTGAGAACATCCTCTTGTCTCCCTTGGTTCGGTTTCGTACCAAGTCTCGGAATCTCTGGAAAAAAGTTAGCTTGTCTTAGAAAATAAGAAAAACTAATGAAAAGGGCTTGAAAACTTTGAATTTTAATGATAAGGACAAAATAAAGGGTAAAGTGAATAGTACTAGGATTGACTTTTTAGTGTAAAAATGTGGTTTTTCGTTAAAGTGAACAGTACCAGGTGCTTTTCGTTAAAGTTCCCTAGAAAATATCCCAGTTTGATCAACGACTCGAAGATAGCATAATTGATCAAGATAATGACTTACTCAAGTAAAGCGTGGTGTGAAAGCTAGAAGACTATTAGTTTAACATGAGAGAGAAGGGGTTTGCATGGTTGCATGACATTCTTGGTTGGATGATTTAGGCCTTCCTAGAGTGTTAACAAGGCTTTTAATGGTTGGGATCCTTAATGGAAGACTGTGGGAATGACTAAGGTTGCGTGGATATGATGATTCTTGAGGCTTTAAAGGATGTTTCTAGGCTAATGGGGCTCTCTTGGTTTGTTTCCTGGGTGGCGCTCCTTGGCTTTCTCTTTCTGCGTTCTCCCTTCTTTTGTAAATGAAGGGTTCTTCTTTAGGCTTTAAAGGAATATCCCTTTATGGCTTGGTCTTCCCCTTCCATTCTCCCTATCCCTCATACTATTTCCCTATTGGTGTAAGGTAGCTGCAATGTTGAAACCTGCATTCTGCTTCTTCTTGAGGCACGGCTTTCCCAGGCCTACTTTCCACTAGCGCTACTTCTAGTAGCACGCCTCATGGTTTTCACGCGTTGGTTGTCTGTGCAAGCTAGGAAGGGAAAGTCAGCATTAAATGCCTGACTTGCTGGGTTTAACATACATTTAATGCAGGAATCTAGTTTATTAAATGCCTGACTTGCTGGGTTTAGCATACATTTAATGCAGGAATCTAGTTTAGTCCTAACGAAGAGGGTTGGCTTGCTATGGAAAGAGGTTAACTAGGCTACTTCTCTCTCAATGTTTGCCTGTGTGAAATGAAAAAGGTATGGGCTTGAATCCTTGGACCCCCAAGCAGCCCAAAGTCTTCCATAACCCTGATTTCGCGTAGGCCTAATAACCTTCCGTAACCATCCACACCACAATTCACTTGACAAGCCCTGAGCATGTAACTTGGGCTTGGCATGAATAATGACTAGCACGAGGAAGCTTGGCATGATGAATAGGCATGAGCATGACGTGATTTGTATAAATATCCGCCTTTATTACTGTGGCGTGGCATGTTTGAAAATATATTTCCTTCTTGATCTGCACCTTGGCATGTGTTTGGGCTTGAATGAAGGTTTGCATGACAATTGGGCCTTGAAACTTGGTTGGGTTGGGATGTGACATTTTTGGGCCACAATAAAGTGCTTCCTGCAAGAAACACATAGCTGGTGCTAAAACGCTTTAAGTGCTTTTAGAACCCAAATTTTGTTTTTCTTACATTTCTAATCGAGGAACTTCTCTAGGAGGATCCAGTTACAAAAATGATTAAGGGTTTGATGCCGTTTGGTTCTAACATCATCCCAACACTCGCAACTTAAACCAGGTCATGGGTGAAAGTTGAAACTATAATATTTTGGGCCTCTTGCAAATTTCAAGGCTTTGGGTCTCTGCTACTCGCTACCAAAAAGCCTAACCAACACACGAAAAAATGAACAAAGGCTAAATTCATCATTACAAAAACTGCATCCCCTGCTGTATATTCCAACTTCTGCACTTCACCGGCCTCCTCGCCTCTTCAGCCATTACGGTTTTCTTCCATTCAAATTCTGTAACTTGTAAATTGAAATACTTGTTCTGCAATTTTTGTTTGTTCTTGTAAAGCGTGGCCCTTAAGATCGCCTTCCCATTTTACTCATGGAAGCGTTTTGAGACAGCGCTGCGCAATAGTAAAAAACTCCATTGGGGAGGGTGTCTTTAGGGTTTTCCTTATGAAACCCTCCTCTCCTCCCACCTGGGTTTTCTGAGGCATTGCTCTGTTTTCCATCTCATTTTTCTTGAAACCCCAAGGCAGATAACTTCCATGCTGTTTGATTCTGGGTGTTTCAGTCAATTGGGGAGCTTCTGGCTCACTGGTTAAACTGCTAAATATGTAAATGTTTCGCTCTTGGGTGGGTAACATTTTAAATTTTAATCCTTATTAGGTTTTTTTTGCAATTTTTTTTTATGAATTGGTTTGAGTTAGAAGTGGGATTTGGCAAGAGTGATGATTCAATTAGATGTGAACCTTTTTTCACTATATATATATATATCTTGTTAATTGCTGAGTTTAGTTCACTAAATTAGCATAACCCCACTTGTTTGTGACTTCTTTTGCTTAATTGTTTGCAACTTTGAGATTTTAGGGTTTCTATGGTTGGATTAAGAAGTTTAATTTATAATGTAGTTTGTAGAATCAAATTTACTATCTTGCAATTTAGTTTGGAAGTGGGGTTGGCAAGAGTGATGATTCAATTAGATGTGTGACCGTAATCCGTTTCATATAAGTCATTCTAGTATAATCCGTAATCCGTTTCATATAAGTCATTCTAGTATAATCCGTAATCCGTTTATCCGTTTCATACAAGTCATTCTCCATAATCCGTAATCCGATTTCATCTTATGGAATTACCAGAAACATAAGCAATAGCAAAATCAAAATATAGAACTTGACCTAATTACCCAGAATCAAAGATAACAATTGGGTATTATATAAAAAAAAAAACTCCCCCAATTAATCTTGGCATTAAAAAAGCACCACAATTCTTGATCAACCAAAAGCAGAAAATCGAAATTACCAAAAAATACTAGAGATTTCTGTAGAATTGTTGATCATCAATCAAGAAACCCAGTCTTGCGCCAAATCGCATTCCTAACCTGACGCAAATCCCTACCTTTCAGCGTCCTCCCCACGCCTTCCAGCACCGAGAACGTCGTCCTATTCGAAACCCCCGACCCCCTCGCCACGAGCTCGTGCGGCGGCAGCATCTCATCGTCTCCCCCGTCGTCGTCGTCCACCACATCCGCCAGATCATCGTTTCTGCTGTGCTTCTCCACCGCCCGGGACAGGACCGGCACCATCATCGGGGCCGAGCTCTGGATCTTCCTCGAATTAGGCACCGACTGGGACTGTAATTGGGACGGCGAAAGTCTCGGAATTGAAGGGATGGGCTTCGACGATGACGAAATTGTCGGCTTCCGGTACAAGACTTGTGCCGATTGACCCGGTTCCGGGAGGACCGCGAGTATTCCGGAGTGGACGCGACGAGTCAGATTGAGTCGGGGGTTTGGGGTGTCGGCGGTGGGCTCGGTGAAGTCGTTGGTCCAGAAGACCTCGGCCTCGTTGAGCTCCTCGCCGGCGGCGGCGGATGAGGGCGGAGAGAAGGAGAAGAGGCCGAGCAGCCGATCCGACGACGGCGATTGCTGGTTGCAGAAGCTGGTGGAATCCATGGTTAGGATTTCTTGGGGGAATAAAAAGGGGGAAAAAGTAGGAGACTTTTGGGTTTCGATGCGGCGGAGGGACGCGGAGTTTTGTGGGAAATAGAAGAGAGGAGAAGAGACGAGAAGAGAAGAGAAGAGAAGGAAGGGTACCTGAAAATGTTGGGGGGTGGGAGTTGCTTTCGGAAAAAAGGATGTGGTGGGCGATGGTTTCTGGGAGTTTAGATTTTAGTTTTGAAGCGAGTCACGTAGGCCTCAACCTTATCTTTGGATTTTAGGAAAGTTTTTATATATAATAATTTAAGCATATGATATTCTATCTTGTATTGTTCTTCCCAAACGTTACGATGGCGATAAACGAATTATGTATAGACCATTCTTGAAGGTTGATTCGTTAATAAATTGGATTTCGATTTGATTCGGATATGGATTCGATGTGTCTTCATAAAATTTCAATTCGATCATTGTTATGACATGAATAGGAGAATTCGTTAGATTAACAAATCAATTATGATCTAGAGCTAATCTAATCTCACTCGTTTAGTGTTGGGCAAATTATTTTTTTTTTAATATAAATGATATATTTATATTAAGGGTAGGAGATTTGAGTTAAGTTGTACAATGTGCAAACGAGAATAATTTAGCATTACGATTTGACAAAAAAATAATTTGATATTATGAGATATAAACTTAAGACGTCTCACTTATAAGTAGATAAAAGTATAGATCGTATTATTGTTTGAGTAAAGAAACCCCATCGAAAATTTTCACAAAATAAATTTCTTATATAAAATAGTTCCACTCCTAATTGCACCTAAATCTTTTGTGATAAAATCAAGGGAAATTTTATTTAAACCCATTTAACCTCTTTTTATACCCAACTTAAATTTTAAATATTAATTGTCTATTTTACCCTATTGCATAATTACTACTAAGTACAAAATGAAATTAATAATAAAACTCAAATTTATCAATAAACCCAAACACTATAATTAAACCCTACGATCACTCTTTGTTTATCCTACGTTTATTCTGGCTAAAACCCTAATAGCTCTCATAGAGAAAAATAAGTTTTTTTTATTGATAGATGGTGATTTTGAAGTTTTGAATCCTCCAACCAAGGTATGACTTAATTAATGAATATTTTGTTCGTTTGATTTCAATTTTTTAGAGAGTAGAAGTTATTTACTGTAATTTTTTTCAACAAATACAACAAAAGCATCCAACTGAGAGAAGTCAAACTCTATGCTCCTTTCTTGTGGTTCTAAAGCGAAAACCACATTCCCTTCCCTTTTCAAGTCTGTTACAAAAACCCACCGGGCTCGAAGGTCACACGAATTCGTAAGGAAGCATTTCCTGCGGGCATCGACACAGAGCTTCTATGGAAACAAATATTGATCATGTCATTTAATCTCATATTCTCCCAAGAGGAGACTCATCCCGCGTGATCATCGACCAACCATAGATCATAATCATGGAAGCGTTTTATCTTCTTCTCAAAACCCAAGATATAATTATTGTGAATTATAACATGCATCCCTTTAGTTTCTCACACCCACGTCTTGTTCTTAAAGTATAATCCTCCAGTTGGGAATGCTGCATGTGGCAGCAGGTAGAGATCCACTTTGTTAACGAGTTTGTTGTCTAATGCCCAGTTAAAAGCGGGTTGATCATTTGCTTTTTTTCTCTCTGGACCATGGTTGATCTTTAAGTTCCTCGATCCACTTCTTAATAACCATCTTTAAGTTCCTGCAGGTAACAATTGAATTATCAGCTTTTGTGTTGTGAAATACCATGCAAAGAACTAAGGTCTAAACACATCAAATTTAGCTTCTAAAAATCAAATGGGTGTAAAAATAAATCCACATATTGAATTGGGTTTATGGGGGTGTATTTGGTATTAAATTTGGGTTTAAAGAGATATTAATAGTTTAGTTAAAAATCAAATGGGTGCAAAGAGTAAGTTGGGTGTAGAAATATGTTAGATGGGTTCAAACACATGTCGAGCTGTGCAGGTGGATAAGTTGGGACCGTACCGATGGAACTAGTAGTGGATCGTTGGCTTGACTATGAAAACTTAACATGATAACTATTATTTTCTACACAACTTGGTCCTGATTTACTTAGCTTAAGTTAGCTTTCTTAAGTTAATAGCTCAACTATTACAACTTCTATTATGACACTGGTATACCGGACCTTGTTATCACACTGAAAAATCTCTACACCACTTGGAGATTTTTTTCATTATGTCAGGAACTAGGGGTGGGCGAACGGGTCTAGGAACCCCGGGTTAGGGCGAGTAATTGCGGTTCAAGGTGGGTCTAATTTTTTTAAAGAAGAAACGGGACGGGGAGGTGGTATTTACGGGGTGGGTGAGTCCAAATCTATAGAAGCACGGGGCCGGGGCCCGACCCATTTCTAAAATGGAATGAATGGAATCTGGATGGGGTTTGTTTCTTTTTTCCGAGTGACCTAGTGGTCCTCGATCGATTCCCACTCCTATCTCTCCTAGCCGACATCACCAAACGCAGACCGCCACCGATTCACCACCATTGTCACCCATAACTGTCGTCGCAACCATCACCACCTCATCACCGTCACAGACGCTATTAACTGTTAGTTTCACCTTAGGTCTCCTCTATGTTTGTTACTCAAGTCATCGATCAATTCTCTCTCGAGTGCGTCGTCCCTTCCACGGTTCTTCCACATACACTCCGTCATTCTCCATCAGTCATCTCCTCCACCACCCAGACATCACCGCTATCGCGAGTCTAGGCCTTGGTGACCACCATGATTGCCCATCAACCTCAATTGTCCTCCTTGAGTCCTTGATGACATCCCATATTTAGAGAACTTTAAGGTTCTCTTTCTCCCTCCCACCCTTCGAATCGACTGCGTCAACATCACAACAGCCACCACACAAGTCCCGAGGCTCCAAACTCGACTGGTGACGACCCAATCTGGTGCGACTTGATTGATTCCAAGCGCTCTTGACTCGGTCAACGAAGAAGAAGAATAAGAAGAAAAAAAGGGACCCGTAGACCCGGCTCGAACCAACCCGTTTCAAACGAGTTTGGTTAGGTCCGTTTCCTATATTAAAATTTGTTGTACCCGCCCTGGCCTGACCCGTTTCTTTTAAACCCAAGTCTGGTCCAATCTGGTCCCTTCAAAATTGGGCCCGGCTCAGCCTGTGCCTAGCCATACCAGGAACACAGTTTAATATATCAACTGTCATAATATAATTGGTTCGAGATTTTTTTTTCTTCAAGTTTTCAACCAATTGTATTATGACACTTGATGTATCGTAGCGTCTTCTCAACACACTCTTTCCACCGCTTGAGAATGGTGAGCAAAATGCATACAATAGATTAATAAAGAAAAATACTAATATATAAATACATTTTGTTGTTCGTATTCACGAATACCAACAAACAAGCAATACCTTCTTCTCACTCATTTACGCAACAAGATATCCAACTCATCATTTCCCTGGCGTCGACCACGGAACAGCGCACTGCGCACACACGGCGCACCTTAGAAAATTCCACTTCCACATCCACCACTTGCGCTCTGGTGGGCTATCCGATTGAAATCTCCCAGAGCTCCGTTTCTCCCCGTCTTCTTCATTGACCCGACCCGACCTCTATCACAACGCCGCCATGCTTACCACGGTAATTACGAACCTGCAACTCATCTCTTCCTCTTCGTCTTCGTCTTCGTCTGTTGGGTCTTTGTTTCACTGATTTACTCGTAGTTTGAAATCTTCGTTTCTGTCGGCGTTTGATTGTGTTTGCATGGAGCAGCAGAGAAGCATATCGGGGTCGTCGCAGAGCCCTAGATCTCCGTCGTCACAGCCGTACCTGTCGGTCTCAGTTACTGATCCTGTGAAATTGGGCAATGGCGTCCAGGCATACATCTCCTACCGAGTGATAACCAAGGTAATTTCGTCATTTCACTCTCAATTTCTGCTTTTGATTGTAGGCTTTGTTTTGGTTAGGGTTAGGGTCTCTGTGAATCGGTTGATTGCGTAATTAACAGTAATTGCATGGTTGGTTTTATCTCAGAGTGTACGGAAGATATAAATTCTCACTTTGTTAGGGGAATTTGATGTACTGAATGACCAATTCGGTTAATATGAGAATAGGTCTTAGAAATCAAGGAAGTTGAAAAAAGGGGTTCCTCCGTACCTGGGCATCGAAAGAAAGAAAAATCAGAATTTGTATTAGCATGGTCATTCAAAATGCACCGTGAAATGATAACTATTCTAGCTTTATGTACCATAGCTTCTTCCTAGAGCTTCGTTGCTAATTAATATGAAACAAGTTAACAAGTATCTGGCTTATTAGTATGATGGAAAGTGTGATGATTGATTGGATTGGAGCCAATTGTGCATTAATCACTAATCAGTGATTCTCGTTATAAAATGTGTGCAAACAAATGATGTTTTTCAATGGATCTTTTGAACTTGAGCATGTTTAGTGAGTTGGATGAGCATGTGATCTATAAACATGCTTTTTAAATCTTGTTTTTGCGTCTGTTTTGATGCTATTATAATGGTTAATTTCTATTTTTGAGTATTCACATCTATGCTATGTTTGTTTTTTCAGACAAATTTTCCTGAATACCAAGGGCCAGAGAAGATTGTTATTCGACGTTACAATGATTTTGTTTGGCTACAGGATCGTCTCTTTGAAAAGTACAAAGGAATTTTTATTCCGCCTCTTCCAGAAAAGAGTACCGTAGGTAACAACATAACTATACCCTTTTTTCTTAGAATTGTTTTGTGCTTGTAAAGTAGAAAATCCTATGTTTACCTCGTCATGTGCATTGTTTTGCCATGCCTAAATTTATGTACTTGCATATTCATGCATGCCTTAACTAGCTAGTTATAGATATCTTGGTTGTTGATTCAAATTGTGAATGAAGAAACTGTGATAGTGCCATGGTGAAGGCTGTTATAGCCAACCCTAAGGATACTCTTTTTTGTGGGTTTATGATGTAGGATAGGGCAGTGGAATTTAGAGTAGTTAGCAGAAGCAAAAACACAGAAAACTTTAAACAAAATGAAATTAAAAGATATTAAATTAATCATCAATAGGGAACTTGCCTCGAAGTCACCCATTAGATTTATTTAATTGAATTTTAGTTTTTTATTAGTTAATAAATAGTGTCATTCCCAATTTGGTGGATTATTATATCTCTTTGATTATTTAGATATAATATAGAGAAATTTTCATTGTGACCAAAATTTGATGGTACACTACGTA